CCCCCCCCCCCCCATTACAATTCCGAAAAGCACAGAAATCGAAACCCCGAAGTCGAAAATGGCCAAGGAAACAGAAAAAACAAACGGCTGAGTCAAAGCTTCAATTCCTCGAAAAACAAGCAAAACCCAACATTCAAAAGATGAATTCCATGTAGCTCTGGTTTGGCAGCTCGGTCCACATCCAAACAGAGGAAAGAGGAGCGTGAATTTGGCTTAAAAGGTAAGAAAATCTGCAGTAAGAGGCGAGGTGGAAGAGAAGCAGAATAGAGCAATGGGTACCTTCAAGAGCTTAATGAGAGCATCTTTAGTGGGAGGAGGAGTGTGGAGCTTGGATCCCACGTCCTTGAGCTGCTGCTGAAGCTTTTGAGCCATGGCGGGGGGGAGGAAGAAAGGGTGGAATCTTGTTTATGAATCTGAAGGGAGCAGAGGGTCTGTCATGGAAGGTGAAAACAGTGAATAAGGTTGAAGAAGAAAGGGAGAGGATTGATTAATTTGAAGAAGAATTAGGGAACTCTGGAAGTTCTGAAACTCTGAAACTCTCGCTCGCTCGCTCGCTCGCTCTCAGTGGCTATCGAACAAAGGCAAAGACAGGATGCGAAATAGGCTTTTACCTTTGACAAACTCATATATCCTCCACTTCAAATACCCTCTCTTTCCAGTTTAACTTGGATAAGGAATTTCTTTCACTTACTCGTCCTTCTACTTCCTTTAATTGTAATTTCGCCCCCAAATTTTCCCCTTTTTTTTTTTTCTTTTTATTAAAATATATTAGAAATTAGATGAAAATTAGGAGAGCAACTCAAAATTATTTGGTAGTAATTAATATTTTTAAAATTTTAAGGGCAAAAAAAAATTAAAACTTTTAAATATTGGGCATAATTTATGATAAATGGTAAGTTTAACCTTCAATTTTCAATTCTGTGTTAGGTTCAAAATATTTAAAAGTGCGCAGACAGATTTGTAATGGGACAAAAAAAAATTAAAACCTAATTTTTCTTTTAAATTCGAACTTTGGTGATTTTACTGAGAGTTTTTTAGATTGAATTTCATGATAGAAAAATGTTTAAGACAAATCCCATAAATTTAAGAAAAATGTAAAAATAAATAGTAAAAAATTGGCCATTTTGAGTCAGAATTTTGTTGGATCTTCTTTATAAGAATTGCTTAGCAGCTTTGGGAGAACCATTATGAGCTTTTGAGTCACTCAATTCTATCAAGAATCGAAGAAGAACAGAAGGTATGATGTTTGGGTTCTTGATTCGATTTTCCTTCAAATTCGAGAGTTTTTCTTGGAATTAAGTGAATTTTTAGTATGCTGATGTCGGAGGGATTTTGCTCAAGTTTTATGAAGGAAGTTGAAGTTGATTCGAGCTGAAAATGTCAAGAAGATGAAATTTTTTTTGTAAGTTTTTTACAAATTTTAGACTCAATTATTTTTTGTTGTGATTGATTTAAAAAAAAATAATAATAGTTTGATGGATTACTCTACACGATAAATATGTCATGTGGTAGGGCATTGATCATGCGGGTAGTCAATGGTTACCCTGCACATAGGATCCATCCTATGGGAGAACGTTAATCATGCAAGTAGTCAGTGAAGTGGCACGCACTGGGGGTAGCACTCGTCAGTTAACCTCCCATGGATGACAAGCAGGTTAACACTCGTCATGTTGTCCCCACTTGGTACGAAGTCTATGGAGGTAGTGCCTCATCTTCGATTATTAGTAACCACCTCGTAAGCTAAACTAGCCCAAGACTGTGTGCAACAAGAACAATACATCTAGAGCCTATAGTAAAGCCCATGGTCACTTGCTAGGTTATGGATGCAACGAGAGTTTACAAGTAAGTTGCTTAGTGAGTATTTTTATACTAACCATTTTTCCATTTCTTTTTTAAGTGTTCACAGGCTGTCGATGGAGGTGGAGGAGCATTCACGAGCAGTTGATATGAACCAAGAGACATCAATCATACAATATACTTCAATGAAGATGCAAATAAAATGTTGTCAAAATAATCAAAAAAATGTTTCAGTTCATGCCACGTTAAAGAATAATTAAGTTTCATTATTATTTTGGGTGGATCATAATTTTGATGTTAAGGTGATTATTTAATGTATTTTAAGGTTTATTTACATAGTAGTTAATTATAGTCATAAATAGTAGCTAATTATGGTCGAGAAATATAGTTACAACTCTTGGAATGCCTCAAGAACGTTAAGGATTTTTATTTTAAGGCTATATAAAGCTATGCATGTTATCTTTGTAAGGAGACTTGGAAAATATAGTAAAATGAGCATTTGTGCTTTCTTTAGCCAATGACTAAGTTTATTTGTAATTATATGTTGTTTAGGTTGCATGTAAAATCATTCAATTTTTGACATGACCAATTTTGCTTGTGCACTGATTCGAATCTGAATCTTACTCTCTTTGTTCTTATTTGGGTATATATTGTTGTAAAGATCCCTGATTCCTAACATGGTATCAAAGTCATGTCCTAAACTTAGTCATGCCAATAGAATCCTCAAATATTCTCTCCCCGAGTAAGGGGATACGTATTTTGTTCGAGGGAAGGTGTTAGATGAAAGTCCCACATCGGCTAATTTAGGAAATGATTGGTCAACCACGAGAGCTTATGCTCAAAGTGAACAATATCATACTATTGTAGAGATCCGTGATTCCTAACATATATAACAAGATCATAAACTTTATATATGGTGTCCAATAAATTTTAAATCACTAAGATTTTACCAAAAATACATTAAAAAAACTGCTAACCTCTTATGATAAATATGTTTAAAATAGAATTTATAATCGATAAAAATACATTAAAAATAATTATGATGATAATTATAATATATTAAATTATGTTTATTCCATTTACTTAAATCATTTTTACGGATGATTTAATAAATTATTTATTTAAACTATTAATTAATCTTTTATTAAAAAGTATTAATTAAATAGTTAAATTATTCAATTAAATAATCTATTAAAATTGTAAATGTGTTTAGTTTTTTTAATATATTTATAGTTAAAAATTTTAATTAGAAACATTATTTGATAATCTAAAATCAATTAATTGATATAAATTTTATAGAGAGTGAGTTATATAAAATTAATCAGACACTTCCTATATAATTTAAAAAGAGTAGTACGAGTACAGATACTATCAAGCCAGACTTAGATCAAATAATGTAGCTTGACGAGGTAATCCAGGTGCTAATATCATGTGTGGAAATGACCGGGAATCTTCTAAACAAGACATTTCCATTGTAAACTCATCTAGTAGTTGGCAAGCACACGGGGTCACTCCACCCAGTTTCGGAGTGACTCTATTGCCCTGTGGAAGGGTTGTTGGTTAACCTTCAATGGATGATGATAATGTTCATACCAGCTAAATGTCATACTATCCTAACATTTTATTAGGTAGCTGATGAACCCAGGAAATCGGATATTCCCTGTTGTGGTGGCTATGCAAGTTGTCTAGGCCTAAGAACAAGAAAAAGAATTCATCTTAGAGATGAGATTTGTTGATTAGTAGACCCACGACGCCAGCAATGGGTGAACCACCACCTCCGAACCCATGTGGGTCCGTGAGCAGCTAAAGAATTGCTCAAAACCTAAAAAATTGGGTCGTGACAATTTATTGTATCAAATATGATAAATATATTATTTCTCATTTAATATACAAAATAGGCGAGTTATGGGATGATTATATGGTCCAATGATACAGAACTTGTATGGTTCACTGTAAACTTAGAGTTACACACTTACGCATTGTAATACTTTTACGTTGTAGAATTTTCAACCTACATTGCAGCCTCAACGCTCCAGCCTATTTGCATATTCTCTTACTGGTTTTGTGCGTCTCTAAAATTCTTAACCCTAACTAGACAAAAATGACACATCTAGCCCTGCCTCTCTACTCATCTTCAATAGGTAACAAACCGGTGCACCACGTTTGACGCCTCTCCCTTGTATTAAAATCCCCACGCCTGCCTTCGACTTTTCGTCCTCGTAATTCTCATCTTCAAATACTCGTACTGAAAACTCATACTCGTGCACTAAACCAACCCAAACACTGTCTCTATACAGAGAGAAGCTTTTTCAACCATCTCTCCTTTCCTGCCATAGCCTGAAGGAGAAGAACATAGATAATATTTTGTACTGGCTCTAGCCAAATAATAAATTTTGGTACTTAGCTGTCCAGCTTCCATAGCATAGTGGTATTGCGTTCGCTTCGTAAGCGAAAGGTCACGAGTTCGATCCTCGTTGGGAGCTTATAATATAAACAAACTCATTGTCTATAAGGCATTGTTAGTCGACGATTTTCACACTTTTATTATAAGGCAGTTAAATTGAGAATAATAGATACTCACAATATTCATCGTTTTCGGTGTATCAGAAGATTTCAGGATTCCACTGTCGGAATCGCTTCCTCCTCCGTTTCATTCAACACACACACACACGCTACTTTCTTCTTTTGTCCAAACCCCTAACTAACCCTAAAAACCATCCAATTTCCACTTCCCCGATCATCACAACTTCAAATCGCTTCCCAAATCCCCAATCAATGCTGCCCTTCACCCCGGGCACTTAATCCCAATCCTATATGCCACTTTTTCTTCAACTAATACTTGCCCAATACGCTTAATTTCCCAGATCATTCGCTTAATTTCCCAGATCAAATGGGTCGCTCTCGGGGAAACTTTCAGTCCGACGAGGATCCTACTCAGAGGTTAGCAGTTTTCTTCCTCTCTCGGTCTATTTTCTTTGTTTTCTGTGAGAAAGTTTGCTGGTTCGTGGTTTACTGAAGATACCCTCGATTGATTCTTGCGATTTTTCCGGGTTTTTTTTAATAATGGGGGAAGGAATTATGTATGAATAGTTGTGCATTTGAGTGTGAATGGAGTGGTTTCTGCATAATCAGGGTAGCACACCAACTTTGTTTACTTACTTGAGTGATCTTCTACTGTACTAACTATGTTCTTTGGTTCAACATTTTGGTAAAATCTTAGTGATTTTTTTCGTGGAAGATGTCTTCAATCCGATGATCTGCTTGTGTTGTTATGTAATATTAGTTTTTTCATTATGTTTATGAACAGTTGTTTCTTTGTTCTTTTTCTTGATGCATTATGGTTTGTGTTGTTGATATGATCTTCCATTTTGGATGCTGCAGATCAAGGAGGAAAAAGAATTCTTCTAGTGGAGATAATTTGGAATCTACAACGGCAGGTGCTTTCTACTTTGATTAGTTGTTTTTAAAACTAAATGTATAGAATTCTCCTGCAAAAAATTGTTATGCTGGGTCATGTTCCATTTTAATGAGGCTTTCTACTGTCTGTAATTCAGATCTTGTGTGCTCTTGTTTTGAGCCATTTTTTGTCTAACATTCTTTTTTAACTTTAAATCATTTTGGGAAAAAGGTCAAGGGACAACTGAAGGGAAAAAGGCATTATATCACTGCAATTATTGCATTAAAGACATTACAGGGAAAATCCGCATCAAATGTGCCATGTGCCCCGACTTTGACCTTTGTATAGAATGCTTTTCGGTTGGAGCAGAGTTGACGCCTCATAAAAGCAATCACCCGTACAGGGTTATGGTTAGTAAT